TTTACTTTCTTCATATATCATTTTCTACTTTATAGTATAAAGAATGTAAATGGGAGCAATATTATTCACTCTTCTGTATACTGTATGAGAGTAGTTCTTAGTTCTTTCCTCATATAGAAGGTTCTCCGTGCTCTCTCAGCTGTTTTTTTCTATCTTTATTTCTGCTCTAGTTCTTTACTTATGGTGTTCCTGGACTGAATACAGTATTTTAAATGAGGTATACTGAGGTCTATTTTTACCATTGCTTTGGTACTTTGATACTATTTTTACCGTTGCTTTTTCTCATTCTTCTTTTGTCTTAGCATGTTGTTTTGTTTTTTCTAATAACCAGTGAACACAGAGTACTAGCTTTTTATACCAGCTGGCTGCAGTAAGACCCATTTCAGGAGCTTTTTTAGTGGAAAAGAATGATGCATATGCATGTTTCTATTTCCTGGTTAATCAGCTCTGAACATAGGCTTTTGTTTCGAACCACACTGTGAACAATGCACGTAGTCCTTCCTCCAGACTAGATCTGCCATTCAACCTGCCACTGGAGACCAGCATCAGATTCAGATCCATCCCATCAGATGATGGCAATTCAGATGCTGCAAACAGGAGAATGGCTGCAGGCATCCATCCTCCACGTGTCTGTGAATGTGCTGTGCTCTCTCCTGCATTTGGGACCACTCTTAAGCAGCTGTGAATGTGTATCTCTATGTGTATACATGCATAGCCTCTGCACGTGTGTGTGCACCTAACACTGCATGTGCAGATAGATATAGTTAATAACTCTAAAATTCCCGGTTGACTTAGAAAACTAATTTATTCAGTTTCTCTGTTTTAAATGGAGTTGGTTAAATACTCACCAGCCCCATGTATGTTCTGTGGCCTGTAGGAGATTTCACAGTAATTCCAATGTCACTGCGTTTGTCCTTACGGTATGTCTCTCAGACTTCAGTTCAACCAGTCCCTCTAAGGTGAAGGCATAAGATTTTAGTATTATTAATGCCTCATTTTATCTAGCTAATGATCTTTTCCACTATTTGGTCTTGCTTGTGATTTACTTGCAATGTCAGATAAAGATCTTACTTAAGCTAAGTATTATGAAATAATAGAAATCTTTATTTTATTTGAATACAGTCAGCATAAATGAATCCAGTAGAGAGTCTGATGTTAAACAGGTGCAGTTCTTAGCAGCATTGCACATGTAAAATCAGGGTAAGTTCTTTGAACACTCAGATCTTAACAGATGTGTTCCTTTTCTCCATATGTTATAATAAAATAAGGATTTGCTCTGAAAGTATTGACATATACACTAAGCGCTTTTGGCAAACACACTGTTGTATTCCTTACACAATGTTGGCTGTGGCTATTATTTACTTTAAATAAATACGTGCATTAAATAGCTGTAAAGCACATACATGTATAAACAAAACCAGTTTTTGTCAGAAAGTAGCATTTTTTCGCTTTCTTGTTTACTGTCGCCTAGACAAAGGAGTGCTGCATCTTCAAAACAACATCTGTCAAACCGATTTTCATCAGATTAAGTATATCCTCGAAGCAACCATCACAGCTTACAAAATACTGGAAACGTAGGTTGTGCTTTGCATAAAATACCAGTAGAATTTAAAGCACTTGAAAGTGTTTTACAAATGTAGCGATGATAGCCTATGCATATTCTCCATTTTTGTTTCTAATTTTGGTAGATTCCTGGGAAAGATAATGAGTGGTGTTGCAACACTGCAATCCCAGTAGATGTCCCAGAGTGTAATTATGGAGTTATGGTCCTGGCAGCTAATCTGGGTCTGCAAAAGCCAATGCTTTGACAGTCTGGCAGTAGAGATTGAATTTATTGCGAAAAAGTTAATCTGTAAAAAGATTTCTCTCATTTAAGAATTAAATCAAAGCGTGAAATCAGTGAGTGATTATCCAGGCCTTTCTCTGATCTTGAATTCTTCATAGTATAGATGTATGATTATATCTGCTCTGGCCTGATTCTGGTTCTATAGATCATCAAAGATGACTGGTAATACCAAATTTTTCAACATCTTTTCTGGGACAATGTAGTCTAGTGAAGCCTCATTACAGTGCGTGCCTGCAGAGTGGGGGAACTCAGGTCAGCCAGAAATGAATGCCAGGATTTCTGTAAAAGATCTTTGCGAATGGAGGGTGGAGGTGCTCAAGCTAGAAGCCACACCAGTGTTCCCATTAGTTCTTCCATTTCCAGCAGCTGGAAATCTAGCATAACGCAAGAAGAGTCCAATCAAAAAGCCATGGAGAGGACAAACAAGGGTGAAAGTTGAGGACTGATCTTTTCTAGCTGCATCTGGATGTAGATAGTTTTTACAATTCTGTTTTTTCATTAGGTTCTTCCGTATGTATCAGTGAATTGCGCTGTGCTATCCTAAAATGTTCCATGTTAACCTTAGGCGAGTTAGTGTGAGGCGTTTTGGTGCCTCCCACACACCCATGGGATAGACCTCATTAGTGTCATGTTCCTAAAACAGTGCAACTGAAGACAGTCCCAGAATAAAATTCATACAAACAAGGCTAAATATGTTATTTCTGGAGGGCATAATTTTACCAGTAAAATAGGATTGCTGATTTTTGTCATCTTTCTAAAGATACGTTAGCTAATTCTGCAGTACTAGTTGAAACACAAACTTCAGACTGGATCTTTAGCTTAACTGTTCTTGAAAATTATCCTTGCAGGATCTTCAGCCTAGTTGCTTAGACAAAAGAACATACAACTAAGTAAAAACAAGCACAAAAGTGTACCAAATATTCTAACTTTATCCAGCTTTACTGTGTACCCAGGGAACTTGGCAGTTGCAAGCTTGGGTCCTTTGAACATGAATAGCATGACATTTTGAACAGGAGACCAGAGTTTCTGAGAAGACTTTTATGATTTGCAGCAAGAAAAGCTGTTTTTGAAACAGCCATTATGCTAGAGATCCCTTCCAGTTGTCATTTTTGGCCAAAGCCACGGAGCATTTAACCTGTTTTTAAAGCAAGAAGTAAGGAACAGAGAGCAGATAATACACTCTGGTGGTAGGCAGACAAGTTCAGCAAATTCAGGCTCTTTTTGGGAAATGTTGATTTGAATTTCATGCATCATCCAAGCATAATGAACACTGAAAGGTCATAGTAAGAATATAAGGAAAAAATCCATCTGATTTGGATTTCTCACTGTCCAATATTGTTAATAATACAATGTCAAACAAATAACTGTTTCTCTGAGTGTGACTAATGCCAGATTCTATGTATAGTTGAAGAATTACTTGCCACACATTTTTTTTTCCATTTACTGTTAATTTCCTTTAGAATGTCATGGTGTTAGTTTATGAATGGTACCTTGAACGACTGCGGTACATCTGTGTTCTCTCAGTCAGAGTTATTTCTTTGAGTTTGTTACTCAGCATCCAAGAAATCTTATGTAGACTGTAACATACTAATTGGCTTGGTACAATTAGGATAAAATGAAAGTGGTTTGCTATTGATCTTGGCTTGTTATTAATTCATACTAACAGAAAATTAGATTGAAGAAGTCTAATATGGTATTAAAATATCCTTTCTCGTTTCAGGAAGTATCACTAGTATTCTTAAATGGAGGTATTTTAGAGCAGAACTTCCTCCCTTTCTCCTTTTTTTTCCTAATCATGTCTTTCTGACTTTTTTTGAAGGAATGATGAGTCTTGTTAAAGAACTAGGGTGTTCAGAGACTATATAGCAATTCCATGACTTAAGCAGGGCTCAGACAATAATTATTAGACCCTTATATCAAGGTCTAATACTGTGCTGCTTGTTAATTTAACTTCACATAACATCATATTAATAAATCTTTACAAGCTGTGTAGTTGTAAAGCGCATCGTAATAATCAGTATCGTTCATCTAATAAATCACTTGATTTGTGTTTGCTTTGTGTTGTTCCAACCTTGTCAACCATAACATCACAGGGTGGGGGCCCTACTCATGGTCCAATTAATGAACCACCTGCTCCGAGCCCTCAGTTACGGACATGTTCAGAGGGAGGCACAACTTCACACCCTCCTTCCCTTTGCAATGCCTCAGGTCACACGGGTTTCTTACAGAAGTATTACTTCTATTATGGAGATTTTCTGGAGCACTTGGGCTCAATCCTTCTGCAGACTCCATATGGATGTGTGGTTTTACTGGCCCAGGAGACCACTGAAGTTGCTGAGTATTTATAATTTAGACACTGTGGCAACAGCCACCACCAGGGGTGAACTGTTAGACATGGCTGTGATTTGGCCTCTGTGTAGAGATGGTCAGTTGAGTAGGCCCAGGGAAACTGATCGGTGGCCCAGAGAAACTGACTCCTCGTGCTGACCAAGCTTCAGAGTCTAATTCTACCTGTGGAGAGTGTTCCTATTGGCATGGGTGGAGGTTTGAAAATGAAAAAGCAGGACAGACTTTGCTTTATGTTTTTTAACATTTGTTTATTGCAGACATGATTGTCCTTCTGTGTAACAGAGCAGATAAATGCCTGCTTGGAAATCTATTGTTTAAAGTACTGGGTGTTGTTTTTTCTGAGACAGACTCTTAATCCGTTTGATTGGCAGATATAAACTTGAATTTTATTTTATTCTCCGTCACACCAGTAAGTTTAGTCCAACTACAATTTTCATTGTTGCAATACAAATACACTAAGCCTAAAGTACTGCTGGCAGCTTATATATAAAATTTGAGGATTAAGAAACCAATGCAAACAAAGACTCTTTGTAAGGAACAGAGTGTTGTTGGAGTAGCCTTTTACTGCCGTCACAATTACTGTGAAGTGGTAACAGACAAAACCTACGGGTCTGTTCTTGGCTGCAATAAGTACTAATAAGGCAATACTTACCTGAAGAGAAAATTTGTCTTGTCTGTTTGCAACATTCATTAATTGCCAAAAATGCTAATTTTTTTTTTTTTTTTTTTGCATTGTATGTGTGATGTACTTTTCACGTTTACCTTCTAAATAATTTGTACAAGTAACCTCTCTTTTTTTTTTCAGCCCACCTAAACCAACGGTGTTCATCTCTGGCGTCATTGCTAGGGTAAGATTACCATTAAATTTCTTTTAGTCATAGAAAAATGATTGTAGGCTTTTCAGAATTATCACTGATCAGAGCAAAATTAATCTTTTTCATTCCCCTTCCTTTTTTATGAGAACAGGCTTTATGTTTTGTATATTTGTGTAAGTCCCTTTGAACATTCTTTTTAGTTTTGTGTGAAATTGAAATTATTTATTGAAATTACTTCCACCATTTTACTTTGAATTTTAGCACTCCAAGTTTATTGCATCTTCTTTTCTTTTCTAAGCTAGATATTACTGCGTTCATTTTCTTTTGAAAGTGGTTGCATGTAAGACTGCTGCTGTAGCTTGATCAGTGATGAGGAGCGACACTCCTGCCTGTGAGGTTACGTCTTTGAAGATACATGTTTCAGCTGCAATGTGTGCCTTGAAGTACTTGGGATTGAAGGCACTATTCCCTGGATTTTAACAGCAGGCAGGACCTGGAAATCCATAAGCTAAATCATAAGTATTAACTAGACATTAATCGTATTCATGCCTTGTGTGTCGTGACAGGGTTTTTACCCTGGCTTAACGTGATGGGTACCTTTACCATGATGGCCTTACATCACTGGGGTGTGTGATGGGCTGGTTTACCTGTACGGTGCTGTGGTTGGGTCAGATCCCAGAGGTGGAAAGAGGAAGCTGATGCAATTTTTCCCAGCTCACAGGGAAGTAGTGCCAGTAGACAGGCACTGCTGTTTTTCCTGGATCTCCATCTGCACCAAGGTGGATACCTATTTAGTCATTTAGATTCCTAATTACTTCTAACTAATTATTGCGTTAATATTTAGTAATTTTGATAGCACTTCAACAATTGTAGGGTAGACATATTGTATGTCTGAGGTTTCCTACAGCACTTAAAAAAAACCACCACCGCACGCTCCCAGTTTAGTAGCCATGCAAAAGATTCAAAATGGAAAGAAATTATTTTCTTGATTTTGTAACTCCTCTCTTCTTTAGCTAATCAGTTACTTGATACTTATCCTCAGTAAGCTGTCAGCTCCAGGTTACTTTATTAAGGTATGAAGAGCAAAATTATTCTATCATTTTCTGATACTTTGTAATTCCAAAATACGTATCAAAATTTCTTCTCTATGTAATAAAACAAAGCATAGCAATGCGTTCTTGAACCCAGAGTAATTTTTAATTATATTTTTAAGTTTCCTGATAGTTCTTATGGGTGTCAAGTGGAGATTTATATGCCATGACATTTCCTGGTTAATACCTTGATCAGATTGAAGATTCCTCATCACGTTTGGAGACAGCACAAATTGAGAGGAGAAGTTAGTAAGTTTGAGGGCAGGGCTGCTACTCAGAGGGATCTGGACAGGCTGAGAGAATGGCAAGCAGCAGCTGGACACAAGGCAGGCACACACGGGACAGCAAGAAGGCCAACACCCTGGGCTGCGTTAGCAGGAAGGTGGCTGGTAGATCAAAGGAGGGTATTATCCCCCTCTACTCAGCACACTTTATACCACGTATGAGTAGTTCATCCAGTTTTGGACACCCCAGTGTATGGAAAGTGTTGATAAACCACTGGAGGGCCACCGAGGTGGTTGGGGGCTGGAGCACATGGCCTGGGAGGACAGGCTGTGGGAACAGGCCTTTTTTAGGAAGGAGACGAGGTGGGTTTGGGAGGACCCAACAGGAGCCTTTCCACATCTACAAGGAAGTTATCAAGAAAATGGAACTAGTCTGTTTGTAGTGGTGTGTGGCAGGCAGACAGGAGACAACAGACACAAATTGAATTGGAAGGGCCTGACTAGACAGAAAAAAACCCCACGACTTTTTCACTGTGAGGACACTCGGGCATTGGAGCGGGTTGCCTGGAGGGGCTATTCAGTCTCTGTCCTTAGAGGTTTTCAAGACCAGACCAGATAAAAACCTTGAGTAAGTTGCTCTGATCTCATAGCTAGCTCTGGTTGGTCTAGAGACATTCTGAGGTCCCTTCATATTTTGATGTGAAGATAGGCATTTCCTGCTAACACAGATTGACTCTGTCATCTGCTCAACCATTACAGTACCCACAAGTCATAGAGCTGCATTCACATCACCCGTTTGAGACAACAAGGTGAGAGGGGTGAGACAGTTTTGGAAAAGGCAAACAGCAGCATCACGTCAAGTCTGAGAAGATAAGCTCTTTGATAACTGGAAGCCACTTGGAGTACAGAGAAAAGTGGAAAAATGTAAAAAGTTAAACTAGTGATCAAGATTTTAAAAAAAAGTTATGTCAGAACAGAAAGTAAATTTGGAGTATATTGAAACAGGGTCAGGTGTGAAACAGGCCATCTGAGACATCAGCTTTATATAAAATACCTCCATGTAGGGTTGTCACCCCGTGAGCCAATGAAATTCAGGGAGTTTCTGGTTTATGATATGCTTGTCTTGGTTTCTGAAGAGGGAAGTTGTGGTGCTATTCCCCTCCCCCTGTCACTGAGCACTGGTAGTAGCTGTTTCCCATTGCCTTTTGAAAACCTCATGGGACTGACCTTAGAAATGACAGATGTAAAAGGGTGGCATAAGGGTTACACCTGAGCTGAGCCTGCCCAACAGCAGCACGTGAGAACTAACACTAGCAGACCTGGCTAAAAGAGTACGTTAAACTTAGAAGCCACCCACAGCTAAGATTTGAGTCAAAAGTAGTTTTAGATGCTGCCTTTCTTTCCACAGAACTGGCATTCCTACAGTAGATTTTCTTGTGCACGCAGTTTTTCGTTCTGCCTTACCTTATTTGTAAAGTAGTCTCCTCTTTGTGGCTACTTTGTGAAAACCAACTAGGTGTACTAGAACTGACCGTACAAAGGCAGTGAAACTGGTGTAGCATGAGAAGCCATTAAGCACTGAAGATAGGAATGTGGGTTTTTTCCCCTTGGGTCACTTTAAGATACTACATTCTTGGATGGTGTGTGTAATTGGAAGAAATGAAACAAACATAAGTGAAATTTTGAAGCTGGCTAAAAGAATGGCAAGATCAGATGTATACAGGGGGACTTCAGAGTAACACGCATCGCTGTTTTCCATCTGCTCTTCACACTTTTAAAAACTTACGTCCGCTTGAACTGGAAAGTATGCTTTTAAGATTTTTTAAATTTTTCCTGATGTGTTCTTTGCACAGGGTGATAAGGACTTCCCTCCAGCTGCGGCTCAGGTGGCTCATCAGAAACCACATCCTTCTGTGGAAAAGCTTCCTCACCCGCAACATGTCAAACAGCACATCCACCAGCCTCGCAAGTGAGCTCCCCATCGAAATCTCAGCCAAACTGCCATCGGTGAATAAGTTTTCAAGAGAAGACAACCCTTTAGGATTCACACTGTCGAATCAGTAAAATTGACCTCTAAAATAATAAGCTGTTTCTTTTACTTTAATTCTCAAGGGTTATAAGAATGAAGACATTGTTCAGTTTTATCCCAGATGGAAAATTCTCTATTAAGTATTTGCTGATTAAGGGTGGGTTTTTTATAAGATTTTCTTACTGCCAAGATAAAACTTTAGTATGAATAATGTGATTAATAAGCTTAAAACTTGTACTTTTAGCTGTGGCATCGCAATAGCAGATAGTTAATGTAGTTTTTATGCTAAGCTGGTAAGAAGAATAGCCCTTTTGTACTGGTACCTTTACTACCTGGAGGAAGTTTGTCGTTTGTGGTGAGACCGAAATTGGTGGTTGTCTTGATTATGTAGAACCTTTGCAGTCTTCAGTATCCTACAGTGTCACCACAGTGGCTGTGCCCTCTGATTTCAACTAGTGAGATAACAAATGGGCCCAAAAACATTGCCCAGTGGGCAGAAGTCCAACTGAAGCTTCTTTACACCCTTTTCCACACACACAGTCTTGCAGAGGTTCTTCCATTTGGAAATCTCTGGGTATGGAGAAGGGAGAGAAATCAGAGTCACAAGAACACTGCTGCTGTAGGCAACTGATTTGTGATCTCATGGATCTCACTGGGGCCTTTATTTTTATGAAAATTTTTTTTTATTCCAATAGCAAGCTGAAGGAGCTCAGGACCTGACAGAATTGAACTTAAACTGGAGAAAAACCTGTCTTTCTTTTTTGACTTTCCGTTTAAGATCACTGTTGAAAATTAAGATACCATTAGTAAATGTGTTTAACTTCATGACCTAATCTCTGTTCCATATCATATCTTTTTTCATAGTCATCTTATTGCAAATAAGGGATATGAGGGAATAAAAAAAGTTAGTTTTCAAATAGAACAATTGAATTAGTTTTGGCCACATAATGAAATCCTTTGATTATGCAGTTCAAAATCATTTAGCTCTGTGATCTTCCTTCTACAACTCATCTCTATAAAACCCAGGAAAATACTTTTTTTAAACATTCCACCTACATTTTTAAAGTGTACTCTGCTTTTAACTGACTACAAATACAGTACAGGCTTTAGTACCCTCTAGGTATATAAAACTTCTAATAACCTCAAAAAAAAAAGTGGGTACTGGAGCTAGTACTGCAAACATTCACCTGGCAAATCAGTGAAGGTTTGGGATCACTGGGGCTTTATTTGTTCATTGATGTTTAAAATCAAATAGTATGGAAAAATCAGTGAGGAGAGTTTAAAAAATTAATTTTTTTTAAGTTTTATTTTTTAAAATTTCTGCAGATTAAATAATTATTCCCTGAGCAGCTGGTTTAAAGCAACAACAACCAACAAAATCACGTGAAATATGGCCCATTTCACAAGTGGAATAACTCACTTCATATGGGTGAGAAGGACCTGGCATTTCTGTCTCTTCATAGGCTTGAAATGGAAATGATGTTTCGCAAGGGATATGCACAGATATATTTACTCTACACCCAAGAAAGAATGTACAACCTATATATGTAGTCCTTATTTTCAAGTTAATTAGATAACCGTACTTGCCTTAAGAAACAAGCGTTGTTTATAAAAATTATTCTCTTAGAATATGTATAATTTTTAAAAATGCTTTCTGTTTCTGATGTCGGTACGTCTGAGGCCTTGTTCATAGCCACTCATGAGTGTACAAGTGATTCACACATGAGTAACTCATTCATAAGGGTAGCATTGTTGATCCTCGTGGAATATTTGCATGAGGTAATTTGCTGGCAGGAGCATTTGCAGATTGAGGACAGAAAGTGGTGGCATCTCATTGATGGTGCAGCCAGTAGCTGTCAATGAGCTGCGTCAGCGATGAAGCAGATCATCGTAGTCACTTGGTACTGGGAAGGGTGGGATTCAGCTCTCCTACTCTTCTGCCTACAGCTGAAGTAGTATCTAGAACCCCAACGGTAGACAATGGGGTAGTCAAGACAGCAGTAGAGTTTAGGTATCGCGTTTTTGACCAAATGGAACTGTCTTTCAAGATGAGCTGGATCACTCTTGACTCCATTTGACAGCTGTGGAAAACTAAATGTACCTCAGTGTAGAACCACACAATTAGGTGGGTACCTCTACTCTGTGTCTAGGGATGGCTGGTAGAAATGCATATTTCTATCTTCAAGCAACACCACATTTCCGTTCAAATACTAAAAGTTAGGAATGTGAGCGCTTTTGAATTACAAACTGCTGCTCCTGGTTGTTAATGCAATATATACAGCATATATAGACCTGAGTTTTGTCTTTGATTTCTTAGATGGATATGTAAGTTTGTACAATCGAGTACAACTCTCAGGATAGCTTTAGTGGCTTTTAGAGTGCGGGAATTCCTATATGGTTAGAAAATGTCTCTGTTTAAAAGCATATTCTATATTGTTGGGAGGTATCCATGTTTATACACAGGTGTCCTTACCAAAGCGTTACCTTGCCCAAAATAACGAATTATAACTGGTGATCTGGATTGCCAATTGATGGTTATTGATACTTTGGAAATATGTTACAATAACATACAAACACAGAAGATGTTCAAATGTTAACTTGAAATGATGGCAAAAGAAATTTTCTGTAATTGTCAATATGTGGCAATAATGCAACAATAAAGCATGAAGTTGGATATTGGGCTCATTTTTCTGTAAGTACAATGTAAATCAGCAGGGTTGGGGTTTATGGAATTTTATTACAGAATGTCACATAACTAATCAACATTTTATAGCTAGCAAAATTTATTAGAAAGTTTTATGATACAGTGGATGAGCTGTTTTGGATAGTCTGATCTCATTAAAATAAAACTAGACACTACCAACTGGAATGGGATTTACTGTTTTCCACTATGAAACTGGCGATCCCCACTAGATCTCTGTGAAGGTTTGGAATCTAAGCCTGGTAATAAATCACTATGTTAAAGGAAGTGAAATGTAACACTTTTCATTGCCTTTTTTTCCCCCCCTAATCTTCTTTCCAAAAAAGAAAGTTCTGTAATCAGAAGGGGTGGCAAGCTTCTCGTACCACTGCCATTAACATTACAGTGTGTGATACTGTGTTATAGTAATTCACAAAAGAGTTTGAAGAAATGGCTGCAGTGTTTTTGAATGTTTTCTGCTACTTTTGGTATCCTAGGGTATTTTATGTTTAGTACATGTGTAGTGTGTATACAATACAACAAATATATGTGCTACCTCACAGTGCAAATGATTGATTTGTAGCTCTGGGCCACCTGCAAAGTTACGTCCTTAGGCTCTGCAGGCACGTAACGATGCACTATATTGTCTAGGCCAATGCCTTCAGCTATAGGATTAATATATGTTAATTGCATTTTAGAAAATGCAGGGATGTCGGTAGGGGGAACAGGTACTTTTGCAGCAGGAAGAGATGTTGCTGCTCAGATGCTGCAATGATGTCAAGAATTAAGAAGAGAAATTTTTAATTTTAATTTAACTTCTTTGCATACCAACCTCATCCCTCAGAAGATGAAGACACTTAATATCAGCTGTAGCCAGTTACCTTCAGCTGCTCTGTCAGTAAAAGAGGAATGCAGGTCATGGTGACTGGAGGAGCCTCATGAGAAGAAACTGAGTCAAGAAAAACTGAGTAAATCTTCATCTGACTTCAACAGATGAGTAAAATAAATCTGCGTTGTAGCTGTAGCCTTTGGTAAGTGCTGTGAATGATTGTATTATGGATAATTACTAAAGGTAATTACTAAGTACCTAATTTGCTTTGCTAAGGAATTCCTTTTTTCCTCAGAATTTCTCTATCCCATCTCTGGCATGCAGGCTTTTTTCTTAGGAAGGTAGAAGTTTGCATTTTGCTTGTTGCTGTGTTCTTGGGTCTCCTTCAGGAATGTGTATTTACTTGCTTTCCTTACCCCCCATCAGAGAAGAGACTGCCTCTAGTGTGTGCTATTTTTTGAGTCTCTCCATAAAATGGTAGCACTGGCATTTAGCTGGGAAGCCTGCGAGGAGAGGTGGGATGGGTTGTATCTGACAAAGCTCTCTATGAATGAAGTCAGTTCAGTTGCAAAGACCGTTTCCCTTCCCCTCAGGATGCTGACAAGAACACAATACTATTTTCTGAGAGTATGATTTATTACTGCTTGGCGCTGACAGGCATGCATGGATGCTGATGACTTCTTGCAAAATGCACTCCCAGCGCCGCCAGGGACCAAGTGGAGACACTGATACTAAAGCCATTGCAAGCGCAGATCTTGCAAGTGACCTTGAAAGAAGCCCTGTAATATAATCTCTGCTGCCCAGCTTGCGTTGGAGATATTTTTAGAAAACTCGAGTGGCTGGCGTCCTGTAGGTCACTCGAGGCTTTAGGAAAAGGAAAGCATTTGTAATCCACAGTGATTTTAAGGATTATAAAAATTGTTTAGCTGTTAACGAGCTGTGAGCTCTCTACGGCCAGCGATGAGGACACGCGTCTTACCTTTGGTGCGTTCTCACATTGTTGTGGCTAAAGCTGGTTCTGCAAAATGTTTCTCATCCTTCTTTATGGCTGACAAACAAGTGGCAGGTTATGAAAGTAGGTAAAATAACTTCTTACAAGCTGGCTTTGGTGGGCTGTCTCAGGTGTCAGTGGGTGTCTGACACCATGTTAGGAAGGATAACGACATCACTTTGGAGAGCACAGCAACTCACCTGGCTTCCCTCTGTAGCCACAAGTGTCTCTTGAAATGCACAAGGGTGGATTTAGTTAAAATGGAAAGAAAAAGTTAGTGACTAGTCTCTGTGTGCTACCAGCGACTGAAATAACTAGTATCTCATCGTGTTTCAGGCATGACTGAACCCACAGGTATGTTCAACACCTTTCTGAGTAAAATTGCACCAGCGTGCCAGTGTTCGGGTCTGAAGGAAGAGAGGCAATCAGTTTTCGCCTTGTTTTACTTGAGAACCTACTATATTTATCTGAAAACTTTTCTTAATGTTTTTTTTTTTTTCAAAAAGCCTTGTTTCTAAAATCATGTACCCATAATCTGAGGCTTCATTTCATTTTTCAAGTGATGTATCACACAGCAGAGAGGGTTAATCTTAAAAAGCTGTTCTAATCTGTGATTGTTTCTGTGAACTCGGAGCTGATTTTCACAAACAGCAGCCATGGGCAGCGGGTTCCTGCTAAGAGACTCCTAATGCTGATGGAGGCCAAGGAGTAAAGGGAGAGCCCACAGAAGTGTGTCAGGAGGGAGGGAGGTGAGCCTTCAGCTGCCAGGCAAGGCCCAGGAGGTGGGGGACAATGTCAGAGATAGTAGTCCTGAGCCAGCAGGACAGAGCAGACCTATGGACCTGGTCTTTTCCACCTCCCTCTGTTGTCCTGGTGTCAGTTATCGAAGTATTGTAGAAGCATGGGCTGAGTGGAGCTTTGGCTCTCAGCTCCAAGCTGCTGCTCCAAGCAGGTCTGTGCCCAGCAGCAGGATGGGTCAGCTCACTTTGTGACATGGTTATGGGGAACTCTGAGGAAGCTAAAGGTCTCGTAGCTTTGTCTCTTGAAGAGCAGCAGACTGAAGCAAGTGCTGGTGGAATGTTGTGCGCTTCCTTTTGTTTTTTGATGTATTTAAGTCTGCAGTGAACAGGAGCTGTGACTGAAGCAGTAAACCCTCAAGTATTAGAACTAGAATAGTAAGTGGATCAGCACAGAAGTGGATCCAGTTGTGCTCTGTATAACTGTTGTTAGAAGATGAAAGAAAAGAAACTGAGCTGTCATTTCATTTCAGAACTGGATACTGACCGTTTCTTACGCTGCTCAGTGACTTCAATTTCCACTGCCTAATTATATACTGAAAGTACAATTCATTCATTTGTAAATCTACATGTCCTTGGATCTTTTTTGCATGGGGGAGAGCTTTGGATGAGGAAAATCTGCAAATGCAAACGTATTTTAACATGCTTCTGGTTCTTTTAACCTACAAGGTTTAGCATAAAGAAATATATATTATCTCTCTGCTGCAAAAGGCAGCACTGGGTGGATGTGCATGTAGGATGTGGAACTGAGACGTATTCTAGCTGAACTGAGACCTAATTAATATTCATGTGTGTGTCCCTACAAAGAGGGGAAACAGTCAATCTTAGAATCTAAAATCTACAATTTTATTCATCTCAGAGACATTAAGCAATTTGAGATCAGATTCCTTGGAACACACAGTTTGGGTGAACACCTTTCACATTCTTTTTGCAGGTAGCTTTTCACTGTGTAAATCTGGCTTGGTAATAAAAAACCCCCACATTAGAAGCTGATTCCTTACCTAATTCCTACACTCGGGATAAAAGATAATGCATAGCAAGTGCAAGCATTCTCTTTTAGAGCCTGATTTATCACCCAGAACAGAATAAACATTAGCCCACTGCTAATGTGACAATTGTGACAGCTGGAGGGGTCTGGAATGAAAGGCTGAAGCCTTAAATAACCTTTTCAATTGAGCTTATTATGAGGATGTTTGTTAAACCCAGCCTCGCTTTTCACCAGGCCAAATAGCTCCTGCAACATACAGGCTGGAAACCTACACTTCCTAGTATGAGAGCTCTGCTTTGCATGCTAATAGCCAGTTCACCATTAGCCAATTGTTGCTAAGATAAATATTTACGGAAAGTGTAGAGCATGATCTGACTATTTATCATGACTCAAAATATTGCCCTCTCCTAGGTTTGTATGTTCAGCTTGATTACAGACACAGTTTTTTTCCTGACTGACGTTGTGCGCAGCGTGCGTCACTCTGATGGCTGGTCCTTCACAACAGGTATGGCTTTGTTCAGTGGGAGCAGGTTAACAGGCAGAGTCTATACCTCAAAAGGTACAGAAAATGTTACTAATGGCATGTAAGCAGATCTGTCCAGGGAGATTTAGGATTCATACAGACATGGCTTCCTTCAAGGCAGATTATTTTCCCATCCCATGCAGGCCACCAGTCTTTCAGAGAGGTTTTCTACTTTATGTTTACAGCGTCCTGTTAACTTCAGTGTTACTCTCCAAGGAATTAAGGTAACTTCAGACTTATTTTGCAGGACTGGAGTATCAAACTAGATACATTTCATGAGATGGAGACCTCCAAATGTCTCTCTTCTCAAACACTGTAAAGCATATCAACCTGAAAAATGGTGGAAGAGAAGACTTGCAGGCAGATTCTTTTCTTTGTGTGAGTTGTGTTTGTGGAGCTCTGCAGAGGAATGTCTGCAGTGTTAGATGACAATGTCCCGTCTCCAGTTCTGCAGCTTGGTGGCTACTAAGCCACTTTTTTAAACATTGCGTGTGGGCTTATTGCTGACTCCCAAATGTGTTGCAAAGCCCTAGCTTCAGGGAGTGCAATGCCAAATGTGACCCCAGCCTCTTGTAGTGTAGGTCCCGTGATTTCCAAAACAGGGGGCTGGAGTTCAGAACTCCTTGGAAGAAAGAGCACCTGTCTATGCAGTGCTCTACATCAGCAAGTTTAGAAGAAAAGATGGTAAGAGTAAAAACCTGAGTTATTTTGAAAGCAATTGAACAGAATACTGTGAAGTAATTCTTCCTACTAGATAGGAAGGGAGAAAATCCCTATTAAAACACACGTGTACATGTAAATCTTTGCATATCCGTGTGTATAATTCAATATTGCCTGATTTATAGTTAGGGGAAAATGCCCTAATT